TTATTTGCGAGCGAGGATTTTCGCCCTTTCAGATTTTAAGGGCACAGTACTACCATATCACTGAATCAAAGGCACCATGCTTTTATGCTCTCACAAACTTTCTGCTGTGCTAACTTTTGTTACTTTCGGTTCCGTGTTTTCTGATTTTTTTGTTTTAGTTTCGGTGATCTGCACTCTCTTTACGCGCTTCTTCCAAAAAATTTTCCAAACTAGTCGCGGCAGAGTCAAAAAACGCACTCGTCCTTGTCGCCTTGGCACAAATCTCTTGTCCTCTCCTTCGACGTGCCAGCACGACTTGTGTACATCCGCACATCATAGCGATACACCATACGACTCTCAACTTCTAGCGGATACACGTTGGTCTTGATGAAAACCGTCTCCCGTTGGTCAGCTGGCGGTAGCTTCGAAGCCAAAAGACACGCCGGCGATGGCCCAGCACGTGGATGAACGGCATGCTGATCACTGCAATAGCAACGAACGAAAATATACTTTTGCTAAAAATGCACGCAAAAATGGCAGTTAAAAAGAAGCCAAAACTTGCCCAGTGCACGGATTGCGCTCACGGACGTGGGCGACTTCCATCGGCGAGGACGCGTTCATGCCATAACCTCCAGGCTGAGCCGGTGTTGTTGCTGTTCTGCATCTACCGTACGGTTGGTTACCATTCGCAGCTGAAGCACGCGCCAAATTGCCGCGTCCTGCCGGCCTCACCTGCGCGAAAATAACGGTAAAAACAGTCTTCTCCCTATCCTTGAGAGATTTTGCAATCATAAAAAAGCGACAACCGAAGCAATGAATGGAGCACAACCCAATGTTGCCGCACTTGAGTTCCGTTACTGAAATTTCGGCAGAAATTGATTCAAAGTGCTTTGCTTGATACAACATGCAAAATAATTACCGCGCGAGAGCCTGGGAATGCCGACGTCGGCGGCAGTGGTGGCGGCTGTGGTTTTACTGCACTGCTGCTGCTGCCGCTGCTGCTAGTGCTGGTGATACTGGCGCTGCTGCTGACGGTGCTGTTGCTGCTGCTGCCGCTTCCTGCTACCACCACACCCGACAGCATTTCCGAGAAATTAGCGCCCACTGGAACTGAAATATAAACTAAGAAAAGGTGAAGTTGTGAATAGACATATCAGTACACAGTCTGTGTTTCACCCCTTACCTGTAAAGAACAGGCAGAGCAGTGCGTGCGAATGGAAATGGGAATCATCAGTACAGCCTCCCAGCCGTCAGCTTACTCTTTATATAGGCTAGAGCGGA